GGCGCGGTGGCTCACGCCTGTAACCCCAGCACTTTGGGAGGCTGAGGTGGGGGGATCGCTTGAGCTCAGGAATTTGAGACCAGCCTGGCCAACATGGTGAAACCCGTCTCTACTAAAAATACAAAAATTAGCCAGGCATAGTCTCGGGCGCCTGTGGTCCTAGCTACTCGGGAGGCTGAGGCAGGAGAGTCACTTGAACCTGGGAGGCAGAGGTGGCAGTGAGCCGCGACGGCGCCACTGCACTCCAGTCTGGGAGACAGAGTGAGACCCTGTCTCGGAAAAAAAAAAAAAAAAAAAAAAGCCGGGGGGGGTGCCCCACGCCTGTAATCCTTCTGGCCGAGCGTGGTGGCTCACGCCTGTAATCCTTCTGGCCGAGCGTGGTGGCTCACGCCTGTAATCCTTCTGGCCGAGCGTGGTGGCTCACGCCTGTAATCCTTCTGGCCGAGCGTGGTGGCTCACGCCTGTAATCCTTCTGGCCGAGCGTGGTGGCTCACGCCTGTAATCCTTCTGGCCGAGCGTGGTGGCTCACACCTGTAATCCTTCTGGGAAAAGTTTTTTTTTTTTTCTTTTTGAGACAGAGTTCGCTCTGGTTGCCCAGGCTGGAATGCAATGGCAAGATCTCGGCTCACCGCAACCTCCGCCTCCCAGGCTCAAGCGATTCTCCTGCCTCAGCCTCCCAAGTAGTTGTATTTTTTAGTAGAGATGGGTTTCTCCATGTTTGTCGGGGTGGTCAGCACATTGGGAGGCTGAGGTGGGTGGGTCACTTGAGGTCAGGAGTTCCATTCCAGACTGACCAACATCTCTACTAAAAATACAAAATTACCTGGGCATGGTGATGCACACCTGTCATCCCAGCTACTCGGGAGGCTGAGGCAGGAGAATCACTTGAACCCGGGAGGCGGAGGTTGTGGTGAGCTGAGATGGCGCCGTTGCACTCCTACCTGGGCAACGAGCGAAACTCCGTCTCAAAAAAAAAAAAAACTCAACAAAAGGGTAGCCGCCCTTTGAGGGTACCCGCTGACACTCTCGGGTGTGCTGGGATCATCCACACCCAATGCCCCCTGCAGTCGGCCAGGACAGGAGACAGCACCTGGACTGGTGGGGCCGGCCCAGCCGGGGCAGGGGTGGAGGCAGGCAGGGTGGGCACCGCAGGTGTCCTGATGCTGGCTCCCCCCACATTGGGTCCCTGCCTTCTGTGCCCCGGGAGCAGGTATGTCATCAGCAGCTTGGAGCTCCTGGTAGCCGAGGACTACATGATCGTGTACCTGAACGGCGCCACACCCCGGCGGAGGATGCCTGGCATCGGCTGGCTGAAGAAGTGCTACCAGATGATCGACCGGAGGTGGGGGATGCCTCAGGACGTGCCAGTGGGGGCATGAAAACCACATAGGGGGCCAGGTGCAGGGGCTCACGCCTAGAATCCCAGCACTCTGGGAGGATGAGGTGGGCAGATCACCTGAGGTTGGGAGTTGAAGACCAGCCTGGCCAACATATAATGAAATCCTATCTATACTTAAAAAATACAAAAATTAGCTGGGCATGGTGGTACATGCCTGTAATCCCAGATACTTGGGAAGCTGAGGCAGAATTGCTGGAACCCAGAGGGAGGAGGTTACAGTGAGCTGAGATTACACCACTGCACTCCCGCCTGCACAACAGAGCCAGACTCTGTCCCCGTGAAACGCTCACTCCCTATTCCTTCTCCCCAGGCCCTGGCACCACCGCCCCTCCTACTTTCCATCTCTGTGAATCTGATGACTCTAGGGCCTCCTAGGTCTGGAAACACACAGGATTTGTCCTTTGTGCCTGGCTTTTCTCACTAAGTATGGCGTCCTCAGGGCGTGTCCACATTGATGCCTGGGTCAGAGCCAGCCTCCATTTCATGGCTGCATAATATTCCATTGTATGGACATGCCACATTTGGTTTCTCCATTCCATCCATCTGTTTATGGACACGGGCTGCTTCCACCTCTGGGTTATCATGAATAGCCACAGAGTAATGCTAGAATTGATCCAGCCAGGCCCGGCTCGGTGCCTCACGCCTGTAATCCCAGCACTTTGGGAGGCCGAGGCAGGCGGATCATGAGGTCAGGAGATCAAGACTATCCTGGCCAATACAGTGAAACCCTGTCTCTACTAAAAATGCAAAAAAAAATAGCCAGGCCTGGTGGCGTAAGCCTGTAGTCCCAGCTACTTGGAAGGCTGAGGCAGGAGAACCACTTGAACCCGGGAGGTGGAGGTTGGCATGAGCCAAGATCACATCACTGCCCTCCAGCCTGACAAGAGTGAGACTCCATCTCAAATAAACACAAATAAAAAATAACAATTGACCCAGGCAATCCATCCTTGCACCCAGGTTAGTGGAAGGAGGCCCTAAGGACAGGCTGGTCCCTCCTTGGGCATTAGGTGGTGAAAATAAAATCTCAGCTGCTCAAATAACTACCCACCTGCTTCACCTCCTCCGCACCATGGGGTCTCTACCTACCTCATCCACCTTAGGGTCTGAGGGACTCCAAGGGTGTGTCTTTATCCTGCCACGGGACGCCCAGGTCCTGGATGGGGACGGGATCTGCCAGGTGCCTGGAGACCACATGTAGAATGAGCAGAATGCTTGCTTGTGGCTCTCCCGTCCTCACGCAACTCCTCCCTCCCCGGGGCTCGCCCCAGCAGCCCATCTTGCTTCCTTTGCGGCCCCACACAGATTGCGGAAAAACCTCAAGTCCTTGATCATCGTCCACCCCTCGTGGTTCATTCGGACCGTGCTGGCCATCTCCCGCCCTTTCATCAGGTGAGACGGGAGGCTGCACCCTGAGGCCCGTAGCCGGAGAGAGTGTGTGAGAGTGTGTGTGTGTGTGTGTGTGTGTATCTGTGTGCACATGCGCCTGTGTGTATGTATGCATGCATTTGTGTGTGCATCTGCGCGTGTTGTCTGTGTACACGTGCGCCTGCGTGCGTGCATGTATGCATTTGTGTGTACATCTGTGTGTGCGTGTGTGTGCATGTGTGTGCATTTGTGTGTGTGTGCACATGCATGTTTGATCTGCATGTTCCAGCTTCTCTATGATAGCATATATTAAGCACATGTTATTGCTTTAAACGGTTTTATTTACTTATTTATTTTTGAGACGGAGTTTCGTTCTTGTTGCCCAGGCTGGAGGGCAGTGGCACGATCTCAGTTCACCAAAACCTCTGCCTCCCAGGCTCAAGCGATTCTCCTGCCTCAGCCTCCCAAGTAGCTGGGATGACAGGCATGCGCCACCATGCCCGGCTAATTTTGTATTTTTAATAGAGATGGGGTTTTCTCCATGTTGGTCAGGCTGGTCTCGAACTCCCGACCTCAGGTGATCCACCCACCTCGGCCTCCCAAAGTGCTGGGATTACAGGTTCGAGCCACCGCACCCAGCCCTTAAACGGTTTTAAATTACACAAAGCCAGGCACAGTGGCTGACACCTGTAATCCCAGCTACTCAGAGGGCTGAGGTGGGAGGATCGGTTGAGCCTATGAGTTTGAGGCCAGCCTAAGCAACATAGCAAAACCCCATCTCTACAAAAAAATACAAAAATTAGCAGGACACGGTGGTGCGCACCTGTAGTTTCAGCTACTGGGGAGGCTCAGGGTGGAGGCTCACATGGAAGGATGGTTTGAGCCAGAAGATCAAGGCTGCAATGAGCCATGATTGTACCACTTTACTCCAGCGTGGGTGACAGAGTGAGACCCTGTCTCAAAAAAAAAATCACCTATGCATGGCAGCACACGCCTGTAGTCCCAGCTACTCAGGAGGCTGAGGCAGGGGGATCACTTGAGCCAAGAGGTCAAGGCTGCAGTGAGCTATGTCACTCCACTGCACTCCAGCCTGGGAAACAGAGCAAGACCCTGTCTCTAAAAATAAAATATATATACATCTGTACAGATAAATAATATGACTAATTGACAATAACAAATTTAAAACTACATATATCCTATAATGCATATTATATTTATAGTTACTACGTTAAGCATAGAGTAGTGAAATAAATTTAGGCATGTTAAAGGCCAGGCATGGTGGCTCAGGCCTGTAATCCCAGCACTTTGGAAGGCCAAGGCGGGCAGATCACGAGGTCAGCAGTTTGAGACCACCCTGATCAACATGGTAAAACCCGTCCCTACTAAAAATACAAAATCTAGCCAGGCGTGGTGGCACGTGCCTGTAGTCCCAGTTACTCAGGAGGCTGAGGCAGGGGAATTGCTTGAACCCGGAGATAGAGGTTGCAGTGAGCCGAGAATGCTCCACTACATTCCAGCCTGGGCGACAGAGTAAGACTCCATCTTTAAAAAAAAAAAGGCATGTAGGCCGGGCGCGGTGGCTCAAGCCTGTAATCCCAGCACTTTGGGAGGCCGAGGCGGGTGGATCACGAGGTCAAGAGATCGAGACCATCCTGGTCAACATGGTGAAACCCCGTCTCTACTAAAACTACAAAAAATTAGCTGGGCATGGTGGCGCATGCCTGTAATCCCAGCTACTCAGGAGGCTGAGGCAGGAGAATTGCCTGAACCCGGGAGGCGGAGGTTACGGTGAGCCAAGATCGTGCCATTGCACTCCAGCCTGGGTAACAAGAGCGAAACTCTGTCTCAAAAAAAAAAAAAAAAAAAAAGGCATGTTAAACGCCCTATTCAATCCAATAAAATGTCATACAAATTTAATTTACTCTAACACAAAACACTGAATTAAAAAAAGATTTCTAATTTTCAGGTTCCCAGTTAAAAATCTGGGACGGGTGAAAGACAAGGGCTTCACTCTCCCTTGAATGACAGTACACATTCACACCAGGCATGATTTTCAAGGAAGAGACTTTCAGCATGCTGCTTTCAAGGACTCCCAAGTACCCTGAAGAGGCTTATTTACATATTAGTGAAGTGAGATGAGGAATACTCTCATTATGGATCATTTGAGCTAATAACGAATCACGCAGGCAAAATGGTAAACGGGCTTTCAGTCGAAGAGTATTGCATTTTCTCTTCTATATTGCAGAATTCAGTAGCACACATTACCTTTGCCTTTAATGTAGCTATTAGGATGGTGCAAAAGTCATCGAGGTTCTTGCCATACTTTTCATTACAGAAACCACAATGCCTTTTGCACCAACCCAATAATTCTGTCACTCTTCACCAGGCGCCACAGCTCACGCCTGTAATCCCAACCGTTTGGAAGATCAGGAGGAGAGGATCGCTTGAGCCCAGGAGTACTAGACCAGACTGGGCAACACAGCGAGACCCTGTCTCTACAAAAAAAAAAAAAAAAAAAAAGAAAAGAAATACGGCCGGGTGTGGTGACTCACGCCTGTAATCCTAGCACTTTGAGAGGTCGAGGCGTGCAGATCACTTGAGGTCAGGACTTCCAGACCAGCCAACATGGTGAAACTCCATCTCCACTAAAAATACAGAATTAGCCCGGAGTGGTGGTGCATGCCTGTAATCCCAGCTATTCCGAAGGCTGAGGCAGGGTAAATCACTTGACCCCGGGAAGGGGAGGTTGCAGAGAGCTGAGACTGCACTACTGCACTCAGCCTGGGTGACAGAGTGAGACTTGTCTCAAGAGAAAAACAAACAGGCCGGGCGCGGTGGCTCACGCCTGTAATCCCAGCACTTTGGGAGGCAGAGGCCGGTGGATTGCCTGAGGTCAGGAGTTCGAGACTAGCCTGACCAACATAGTAAAACCCCGTCTCTACTAAAAATATAAAAAATTAGCCGGGTGTGGTAGCGAGGGCCTGTAATCCCAGCTACTCGGGAGGCTGAGGCAGGAGAATCAATTGAACCCGGGAGGCGGAGGTTGCGATGAGCCGAGGTTGCTCCATTGCACTCCTGCCTAGGCAATAACAGCAAGACTCCGTCTCAAAAAAATAAAAAGAAAGAAACAAAATAAAAGAGTCAATCGGCAACCCTACGTGCCCTATACCTGTGCCCAACTGAGTATTGGCTACGGCGTCCTGCGCAGTGACACAGGGAGAAAGCATTCTCGGGAAAAATTAACACAGACAGCAACTTTTTTTTTTTTTTTTTTTTGAGACGGAGTTTCACTCTTGTTACCCAGGCTGTAGTGCAATGGCGCGATCTCGGCTCACCGTAACCTCCGCCTCCTGGGTTCAGGCAATTCTCCTGCCTCAGCCTCCTGAGTAGCTGGGATTACAGGCACACGCCACCATGCCCAGCTGAATTTTTGTATTTTTAGTAGAGACGGGGTTTCACCATGTTGACCAGGATGGTCTCGATCTCTTGACCTCGTGATCCACCCGCCTCGGCCTCCCAAAGTGCTGGGATTACAGGCGTGAGCCACCGCGCCCGGCCCACAGACAGCAACTTTTAGAGATGACGGGAAAACAGCCTAGAGCCCCAGAGCATCTTATCTCCTCCCCTCCTGACTTCCTTCCAACCAGATGGTCACTGCAGGGACCCATGTCAGGTGCACCGTCCTGCTTGGAAGGGCTTCGGGGCAGAGCAGGGGTCTCCACCCCACCCACAGGTGCAGGAGAATTAGGCTGGCATTGGGCAGGAGGGAGATGCGGCCTTCTGCACTGGGGCATCCCTGTCACCACGGCTCCGTCTGGACCTAGGTAACCCCCACCCCCAACCCACGGGCTGCGTTTCAGACCTCTCCCTCCTTCTCCCACTGCCAGCGTCAAGTTCATCAACAAGATCCAGTACGTGCACAGCTTGGAAGACCTGGAACAACTCATCCCCATGGAACACGTCCAGATCCCAGACTGCGTCTTGCAGTGAGTGGCCCCGCACCCCTCCCCGCCATATTCGTCCGTTCTCGGGCTGCTGATACAGACAGACCCGAGACTGGGCAATTTACAAAAGAGGTTTAAGGGACTCACAATTCCACGTGGCTGGGGAGGCTTCACGATCATAGCGGAAGGCAAAAGGCACGTCTCCCACGGCGGCCGACAAGAGAAGGAAACTTGGGAGAGCCGGAAATTCCCTTTATAAAGCCATCAGATCTCGTGAGACTTACTCGCTATCACGAGACTAGCACAAGAAAGACCCGCCCCCACGATTCAACGACCTCCCACCAGGTCCCGCCCACAACACGTGGGAATTGTGGAGGCTGCAATTCAAGATAAGATTTGGGTGGAAGGCCCGGCGCGGTGGCGGGCGCCTGTAATCCCAGCACTTTGGGAGGCCAAGGCAGGCGGATCACGAGGTCAGGAGAGCCAGACCAGCCTAACCAACATGGTGCAACCCGGTCTCTACTAAAAGACAAAAAATTAGCCTGGTGTCGTGGCGGGCGCTTGTGATCCCAGCTACTCAGGAGGCTGAGGCAGGGGAGTTGCTTGAACCCGGGAGGGAGAGGTTGAAGTGACCCAAGATCGCGCCATGCATTCCAGCCTGGCAACAGAGCAAGACTCCGTCTCAAAAAACTGAGGGGCTCCAAAAAAAGTTTTGGGTGGAGACACACGCAAACCATATCACCCCCAACCCTCCCACCAACCTGGTCCCCCTGGTTGCCAGGAGCCAGCAAAGAGGGGAAACACAGACTCGGAACAGGGGCACTAGAACACACCCATTTTCTTTCCTGGAGCCCCTCAGGGGCCACCTGGGAGCTTGGGGAAGGAAGGGATGAGCAGCATCAAGTCCTGTTCTGTTCTCACTGAGTCACATCATCAACACGTCCCCACAGGTTCATGTTGCAAAAGTCTCCTTAGACAACCATTTTTTTTAATGTAAAATACACATAACATAGAAGTTGCCCTCCTAACCATCCTAACACATTTCAGTGACATTAGGCACATTCGTATTTTGTGCAAGCATTACCACCATCTACTCTGGAACTTTTTTTTTTTTTTTTTGAGATGGAGTCTTGCTCTGTCACCCAGGCTGGAATGTGGTGATGCCATCTCAGCTCACCGCAACCTCCGCCTCCTGGGTTCAAGCGATTCTCCTGCCCCAGCTTCCCAAGTAGCTGGGATTACAGGCACCCGCCACCACGCCCAGGTAATTTTTGTATTTTTAGTAGACAGGGTTTCACCATGTTGGCCAGGCTGGTCTCGAACTCCTGACCTTAGGTGATCCACGTACCCCAACCTCCCAAAGTGCTGGGATTACAGGCATGAGCCACTGTGCCTGGCCCTCTCCAGAACCTTCTCATCTTCTCAAACTGAAACTCTGTCCCCATGAGACACTCACTCCCCAGCCCCTGGCACCCCCATTCCTACGTTCTGTCTCTGCAGATGCTGTGCACTGCATTCTGTCCCTGGGAATCTGACGGCTCTAGGGACCTCCTAGGAGTGGAACCACACGGGATTTGTTTTTTTCGTGTCTGACATCTCTGAGTGTGATGTCCTCAAGGTGTATCAAGGTGCATCCACCCTGTAGCCGGTGTCAGAATTTCCTTCCTTTTCATGGCTGAATAATTTTTTTCTTTTTTGAGATGGAGTCTCACTCTGTCACCCAGGCTGGAGTGCGGGGGCGCTATCTCGGCTCACTGCAACCTCTGCCTCCGGGTTCAAGCCATTCTCCTGCCTCAGCTGCTGGAGGAGCTGGCACGACAGGCGTGCGCCACCACGCCCAGCTACTGTTTTTGTATTTTTGGTAGAGACGGGGTTTCACTACATTGGCCAGTCTGGTCTCTAATGGCTGGTCTCGAACTCCTGACCTTAGGTGATCCACCTGCCCCAGCCTCCCAAAGTGCTGGGATGACAGGCGTGAGCCACCGCGCCCGGCTGTTTTGTTTTTTGAGATGGAGTCTTGCTCTGTCGCCCAGGCTGGAGTGCAATGGCTCGTTCTCAGCTCACCATATCCTCCACTTTCCAGGTTCAGGCGATTTTCCTGCCTCAGCCTCCAAGTAGCTGGGATTACAGGCACCTGTCACCACGCCTGGCTAGTTTTTGTATTTTTACTAGATAATAGGGTTTCACCATGTTGCCCAGTCTGGTCTCGAACTCCTGAGCTCAGGTGATCTGCCCACCTCCGCCTCCCAAATTTCTGGGATTAGAGGTCCGAGCCACCATGCCCAGCTGACACAAACATTTACAATCAAAAATGCATCTGTGGGCCAGGTGTGGTGGCTCACACCTTTAATCCCAGCACTTTGGGAAGCTGAGGCCAGAGGACTGCTTGGACCCAGGAGCTGGAGGCTATGAGTGAGATGGCGCCACTGCACTCCAATCTGGACTATGACAGAATGAGATCCTGTCTAAAAAAAGAGAGAGAGAGAAAAGATAGAAAAAAGAGAGCTTGTTTCTCTGCTTGATAAGGGAAGGGAATGCCAGGTGCAGTGGCTCACGCCTGTAATCCCAGCACTTTAGGAGGCCTCGGTGGGTGGATCATGAGGTCAGGAGTTCAAGATCAGCCTGGCCAAGATTGGTGAAACCCCATCTCTACAGAAAATACAAAAAAAAAAAATAAAATAAAAATTAGCCAGGCATGGTGGCGCACGCCAGCTACTCAGGGAAGCTGAGGCAGAGAATTGCTTGAACGTGGGAGGCGGAGATTGCAGTGAGCTAAGATCGCGCCACTGCACTCCAGCCTGGGTGACAGAGTGAGACTCTGTCCCAAAAAAATAAAAGAAAAAGGAAAAGGGAAGGGAATTCCCCCAGAAAGTATATCTCAGGGGAAAGGAAGGTTGTGTCTGATGTCTTTTTCTTTCTTTCAGATACGAAGAGGAAAGACTGAAGGCCAGGAGGGAGAGGTGTGTGCCGAGTGACCTCTGCTGGGGCTGGGTCGGGGCAGCGGGGCTGAGCCTGACTCAGTTAGGGCAACCCGGCGACTTCCACTGAGCAGGGACCATTGTCCCTGGCAGGGTTCAAGACGCTGCCCTTCTGCCAAGGACTTTAAACTCGGACCTGCATTTGAATCCCGGCTCCCACATTTAGCTACAGAGTGACCTTACGCAAATAAAAAGCTAACAACCGCCTTGGAGGTTATTGTGGAAGATGACAGACCCTTGGCAGAAAGAATGAGCACGTACTTCAGTCTCCACAAAGCATAAGAGTCAGGCCGGGCTCGGGAGCGCTCACCTGTAATCCCAGCACTTTGGGAGGCCAGGATGGGGGATCACCTGAGGTCAGGAGTTTGGGACCAGCCTGGGCAACACGGCATAACCCCATCTCTACCAAAAATACAAAAATTAGCCGGGGGTGGTGGTGCATGCCTGTACGCCCAGCTGCTTGGGAGGCTGGGGCAGAAGAATCACTTGAACCCAGGAGGCGGAGGCTGGAGTGAGCTGAGATCGCACCACTGCACTCAAGCCTGGGCGACAGAGCAAGACTCCATCTCAAAAAAAAAAAAAATTAGCCACTTGTGGTGGTACACACCTAGAGTTCAGCTACGTGAGGGGAGACTGAATCGGGGAGATTGCTTGATCCCAGGAAGCTGAGGCTGCAGCGAGCCATGACTGCACCGCTGCACTCCAGCCTGGGCAGCGCAGCAAGACCCTGTCTCAACAAAACAAAACAAAAAACAGGCTTTATCATGCCAGGTGGGGAAACAGAGGCAAATAAGACAGAGTCTTGGTCCCAGACGTTTTCTCAAACAGCAAAGGTGAGGAATGTCTCACTGGTTCAGAAAACAGGTCCCAGAGACGGGAAATCAGAGAGGCCAGGGGCAGCCGAGAGCCCCTTGGCCTGGCCCGGCCAGTCACCCTTGTCACCTCGTTCTCTCTGTCCACAGCGCAAGGCCCCAGCCGGAGTTCCTGCTGCCCAGGTGTGAAGAGAAACCAGAGGAGGACCCAGTGGAAAACAGGTAGGTATGCAGGGGACCGGGGCGAGAGCTGGCAGCCACGGGAGGCTGGCGAGGAGGGAGGGCCCTCGTTCAGGAACAGAAAATGGAACTAAGTGGCCGGGGCACCGTGGCTCACACCTATAATCCCAGCACTTTGGGAAGCTGAGGCGGGCGAATCACATGAGGTCAGTAGTTTGAGGCCAGCCAGGACAGCATGGCGAAATCTCATCTCTACTAAAAATACAAAAATTAGCCGGGCGTGCTGTTGCACATCTGTAAGCCCATCCCAACTACTTGGGAGGCTGAGGCTGGAGATTCGCTTGAACCTGGGAGGCAGATGTTGCAGTGAGCCGAGGTCACGCCACTGCACTCCATGACAAAGAAGTGAGACTCCATCTCAAATAAATAACATAAAAATAAAAATGATCCAGGTGTGGACCGGGCACGGTGGCTCATGCCTGTAATCTCAGCACTTTGGGAGGCTGAGGCGGGTGGATTACGAGGTCAAGAGATGGAGACCATCCTGGCCAAGATGGCGAAACCCTGTCTCTACTAAAAATACAAAATTGGCCAGGTATGGTGGCTCACACCTTTAATCTCAACACTTTGGGAGGCCAAGGCAGGCAAATCACTTGAGGTCGGGAGTTTGAGACCAGCCTGACCAACATGGAGAAACCCCGTCTCTACTAAAAATACAAAACTAGCTGGGCGTGGTGGCGCGCGCCTGTAATCCCAGCTACTTGGGAGGCTGAGGCAGGAGAATCGCTTGAACCGGAGAGGCAGAGGTTGCAGAGGGCGGAGAGATTGTGCCATTGCACTCCAGCCTGGGCAACAAGAGTGAAACTCCATCTCAAAAAAAAAAAAGGCCAGGCGCGGTTGCTCACGCCTGTAATCCCA